ATTATATTTTTTTCTTACATTTTCTAATAGTGTATATAATATATATATGTATAATACTATATATATTATACTATATATATTATACTATATATTTGTTATACTATATATATAATACTATATAAATTTATATACTATGTATATATACTATAATATATATGTTAGAAATTATTTTTATATAATTACTTTTTTTTAAAAATAATTTTTTTTAATAATTTAATTATTATTTTTTTTTTAAAAAAATAACATTTAGAATATGAGAAGCGTATGACTGGTTCGCAATTTAATCGTTTTATGGAAATTGTCTACAAATGGATGGATCAGACATCTCAGATCAAACAACTACATCTGAAACCCGAATCGATAACATTGGACGGGTTTATGGATATCCGTATCAGCGATTCGGGTACCCGAACGGCATACCTGATCTACGAGTTAAGCACTGGTTTTCAATGGGAATCAATAACCGATAGTCAAATCAGTGGTCAATTGTCGGCCTATGAATGGCATATATCGGCTGTTATACTAATTATTAACGATATTATGTCATTGAAAAAGGAGGCCATCAATGATGGACTAAAATTTAATTATATTTATCTGTTAGTATTAAGAGATCGATTGACTGTACAGCAGGCTATGGATCATGTAATCGGATTAATTAGAAACCAATTGTGGCCAAAAATTATTAGTTTAATGGATCAACTAATGGCTTATAATATGAAATTCATACCGAATTTAGACAAATATTTGTTATCATTATATAATATTGTTTGCTGTAATTATTCATATATACCTAAATGCAATAGATATTATAATTTGAAACAATATATAAATAATAATAATAATAATTTATTAAATAATATTAATTAAATAATAATAATAATCTAAATTTTTTAGATTGTTTTTTCTATTATCTAATATAATATGCTAATTATTATACTACTATTACTACTAATTACAATGTAAAAAAATTTTAAAAGAAAATTACTTAAATTAAATTTAAATTAAATTAAATTTATTAATTAATGTTTATTTTTTTTAAGTAACACATAAATAAATAAATATATTTTTTAAATACATTACATAATTAAGATTTGAAAAAAAACAATATTCCAACTAATCAATTAAACATTAGATATTTTTTTTAAAAAAATAATAATAATTAATGATTAATCAAAAATTTCGAAAAAAAAATTATTTGTCAATAATAATAATAGAATTTAAAAAAAAACTTTTTAGACATAAAAAACAGTTTTTATATAATTGATATAAAATATTACATAAATTATTTGTTTTTTTTCAATAATAAATCATAGATATTTATATAATAAACAATAATAATTAATCAAATAAACAAAAAATTTAAAAAAAAATGAAAACGGGAGGTGCCGACAGTGACTACTATATAGGTAGTGGTGGGGTAGGTTTGTGTGCGCGCGCGCCCACTACAACCCCATCCGAAACTAATCGGTGGCCAATTGACTATTCATTCAATAGGAGACCCAGAGATTTATAATTTTAAAAATAAAAAATGTTTGCGTTTTTTTTGTGAGCAAAATAATAATAATACTTATTTAATATATAAAGCTATTTAAAACGGTACAGTATATAAATATCGGGTAAGGCATACAAACATACAGTACATACATACCTGTAATAACCGGTAGTTAAAAAATATTAAGGCAATTGTTTTGTTTAAATTAAGGCATTCATTCAATAGCCCCAGAGATTTATACTTTTAAAAATAAAAAGTTTTTTTTTGTGAGCAAAATAATAATAATATTTATATAAAGCTATTTAAAACATAGAGAGAGAGAGAGAGAGAGAGAGAGAGAGAGAGAGACGGGGGACGGGATGTGCGGACAGTGACCACTCAGATAATAACCATCTAATTGGTGGCCAATACACTGCCGTTGCTTTGGTTACCAGTGTTTTGTGGCTGCTGGTATGGTTGTATGGTTGCAACATGGGTGGCGGCGGCGGCAGCCGTTCCCGAGGAAGAGGAAGAGGACAGTTGTTTTTGATTCATTTGCATCTCTTTTTGCATCCTATCAATCATTTCTTGCATCCAATGCAATTCGGCCTCTTTTTCCTGAAGAGAGAGAGAGACGGGAGGTGTGGACAGTGACAACTCAGGTGGTAGTGGTGGGATCTATGTGTGTGTGTGTGTGTGTGTGTTTATGTGTGTGTATGTGTGTGTGTGTGTGTTTATGTGTGTGTATATGTTTGTATGTGTATGTGTGTGTATGTGTATGTGTGTGTCTATATGTGCATGTGTGTGTATGTGTGTGTGTATGTGTGTATGTGTGTATGTGTGTATGTATGTGTGTGTGTGTGTGCGTCCATATCTAATCGGTGGCCAATTCACTACCATTGCTTTGGGTTCAAACCGTTTTACGGCTGTTGTTATTGTTGTATATTTAACTACCGATATTGTCACCGACAACATGGGTGGCGGTGGCAGCCGTTCCCGAGCAGGAGGAGGAGTAGGAAGACAGTTGTTTCGGATTCGGTCTCTGTTTTTTTAGTGCCGGCAATACATGATAATTACGGCAATGATGTATATCTGTGTGGTTGTTGTTGTGGTAGTGGTGGTCGTCGAGTTGTTGCTGGTTGTCTGACTACTACCGGTGCTTCCGATGTTGTCCCGGTATAGTCCATGACCACCACCGCCTCCGCCATCGTCTACAATGGACTTCTGAATGGAATCGTTTGTTCAGCGGTTGCCGTACAAGTTATACACGATTTTCAGTGTTTGTAGTTTATAATCTTAAATAAGATACCAATATATGATAAAAAAATTTAAAATCTAAAAAAAATAAATTAAATTAAATTTGTGTTTATTATATATACAGTATATATATAAAAAAATTGCATACTTACATATAACGATGTATAACGTATATTGAATTTTTAATTATTATTAATTAATGTGTTAGTTGCGATTCGAAAGTGTGCGTATGATAAAATATTGTAAACAGCGTGCAGCTGTGTAAACGCCCTAATAATTAATAATTAATAATTAATAATTAATAATTAATAATTAATAATAATTAATAATAATTAATAATTAATAATAATTAATAATAATTAATAATAATTAATAATAATTAATAATAATTAATAATAATTAATAATAATTAATAATAATTAATAATAATTAATAATAATTAATAATAATTAATAATAATTAATAATAATTAATAATAATTAATAATAATTAATAATAATTAATAATAATTAATAATAATTAATAATAATTAATAATAATTAATAATAATTAATAATAATTAATAATAATAATGAGATCGTAATTAGGTAAGTATTGCGCTAACTTACGAAACTAACGGTACAGTGCAATATTAGACTCGCACAGTTGGTCTAAATGCCTGATCCCGTTTTCCATACCATTTACTTGACTTTGATAAAATCGATTTAATCATCCCATTGTCGACTTTATTCAATGTGTGAAGTAATTTCCGTGTTTGCCTAAAATTAAAAAAATATATAAAAATTACTTATTAATATAAATAATTATAATAATAATAAATAAGTTTTATTAATTTTATTGTCAAATTAAGTTATCAAAAATATCAATATACTGTATATTAATACTATATATATATATTAATACATATATATTAATCTATATATATATATATATATATATATTTATTTATTTAAATCCAGTATATATTCTTTATAATAAATAATTAAATTGTTTTTATCAATTAATCATTAAACGCATTATACAATATATATATATATATAACAACAACACAAAAAATTAAAATAATTGACACCAAGTTTATTGACACCAAACTATATACACATATTTTTAAAAAATTAGTTATCTCTCTCTCTCTCTCTCTCTCTCTCTCTCTCTCTCTCTCTCTCTCTCTCTCTATGAGATATACTTTATATAAATATATATATAAATATAAAATTTATTGTTTATATACTTGTATATACTGTACTACATATAATTTATGATTGATGTTTTCAAGTATGTATCTTCAATAAGGTGCTCATTGATAATGATAATAAAATTATAATAAAAATATAAAATTTTTATATAATAACTATAATATAACTGGTGTTGAATAAAACTACCGCAAAATTGTTTGATGACTAACCCCACTCCCCCAACAAAATAATATAAAACTTTTTATATAATAATTTTTTAAAGGTATAAATTATTTTCTAAATTATTTTTTTTTTTTTGGGTGTTTCAAATCTTCATTAAGCCAATAATAATAATAACAAAAAGTTAACATGATACTATTTAAAAATTGTAACATTAGATGTCGCTATATTATTAAATTGTACAAGGTAGTTTTAATATACAGGCTGTATATTATACAGTATAATAATTTTTTTTTTTCAACAAAAAAATTTCAAACTTAATAGTAATATATTTTTCAAACTTAATAGTAATTAATTTTTTTAAATTAATAAATAATTTTATTAATACAATATATTAATTATTTGATTATATAATATACAGTATAACTTTATTTCCATAAAATAATTTCAAACTTAATAGTAATTTATTTTTTAAAAATTAATAAATAATTTTATTAACACAATATATTAATTAATTAATTTTAAATACATTGTATACTAAAATAAAATAAAAATATTACAACCAATTAAACAATAGATAATTTTTTTAATAAACAATAATAATTAATCACAAATTTGATGAAAAAAAAATATTTATCAATAATAATAGAATTTAATAAAATAAAAAAATTTTTTGGACAAAAAAAAACAGTTTATATATATAATGATATAAAATATTACATAAATTATTTGTTTTTTTTAAATATATATATAATTATAATATTATAATAAAATATTCAAACTTTAAAAATAAAACAATTCAATAATAATTAAATTTTTTTTAATTATTTAATAATTAATTCACAAATACTTTATGTTTGATATGTTTTACAACAACAACAACAACAACAATAATAACCAAATAAACAAAAAACTGGTTAAACCTTTTCGCCGGACGACTCATTAATATTATAATATAACTGATGATTAAAGTGATGCAAATCAACGTAACCGCACTGTTGTTCACACATTTTGGTCAACTGTTGACGTATTTCGGTGAACGTCAGCCGCCGGGGACAGTCGTGTTCCAGACAACGGGCCATCAATTCGGACAATTGGTCGCCACAATGTTCGGGTCGATCGATTCGGCCCCCGTCAGTACAAACCCAACGTATAACTTCGTGGGCAGTCTTGCCTATATAGGGTGTCGACCCCAGTGTTACGATTTCCCATAGGAGTATACCGTACGACCAGACATCGGATTTGGTAGAAAATAGGCCCATCGACAGGGATTCCGGTGACATCCATCGGACCGGCATTTGGCTACCGGTGCGCTGTTTATAGACATCGCAGTCCTTGTCCCGTATGCTACGGCTTAGACCAAAATCGGCAACTTTACAGTTCATAGTGTCGTCGATTAGGATATTACGTGCGGCTAAGTCTCGATGGATTATCTATGAGATTAAAAACAAATTGGGATTAAAGAATATTCTGTTAAAAAAAATTTTTTTTAAATAATTAAATCGCTTACTCCATGACTACTAATAAATTCCATTCCTTTACATATTTGATATGCAAATAAAATTAAATCTTTATCCGTCAATAATTTATTATTATTTATTGAATCACTTTTATTATTATTATTATTATTATTATTATTATTATTATTATTATTGATATTATTATTATTATTATTATTATTGATATTACTATTAATAGTATTATTATTATTATTCTGATAATTATAGTTATCAAAACTATTACTATTACTATTATTATTATCAATTGATTTATTATATAAATTATTATTATTATTATTATTATTATCAATATTAATAGTTTTATAGTTAATAATACTACTATTATTTGAATTATTACTATTACTATTTTTATCATTACTATTATTATTATTATTTTCATTATTATTATTATTATTATAAATATAATATGTTTTATCGGTTCTATGTTTTCGTAAATATGATAATAGTTTCCCATTTGCCACAAACTCCATGATTAGAAAATATGGCACTAAATCAATGCAATTAAATAATTAAAAAATTAATTAAAACTTTTTATTTTCAAAAAATTAATGATATTTTTTTTTTGGTTACCATTTTCAGTACAACATCCTAAAAGTTTGACAACATTTGGATGATTACCCAATTGAAGCATAATATCCAACTCTTTCAGTAGATCTTCCGCATCGGTTTCATCCGTATTGACTGTTCAATTGATTTTCAATAATAAAAAAAATTATTATTATTAAAAAAAACTTGTATTTTATATAAAAAACAATTTATTTTGATATATATAGAAAAAAAACTATATATCTATTTATAATAAATAGATAAATAAGTTTTTTATATTTATTTTTTAAAAAAAATACTAACTTTTATTAGTTTTGACGGCAACTGTCTGACCATTTTTGTGGCCATTTTTTATTTGCGTAACCCTAGCCTTCCATACCTATTATGGATTGAAATAGCATTACAATTACAAGTATACTAAAAACAACAAAAACAACAACAAAGACAACATACCTGTCCAAAGTTGCCCTCACCGAGTATATCAATCATTTCCAGACACTTTCGGGAAACTTCCATTGAATAGACGCGTCGGCTTTTCAGGTATGTTGGCTTATAGCTGTTATACCATACGGTACTCGTATCGGTAATACCACCACCACCACCACCACCCATACTACCGGTGCTATTCATAGTGTTGGTAGTGCCAGTGATGATACCAGTGGTGTTGGTGTTGGGATCGGCTATTAACTTATCGGTTCCCCGTTCGACCAGCTTATAGGTAATGTGTCTGATGGGGACATCGTTGATCAATAGGAACGGGTTGTCGGTATTATTGTTGCGCGGATTGTCCGCCGATTTTTTACCGATTTTTTTAAGGCCTCCCGAAGCAGCCTTACCGCGAATACAGCGTCGCTTTAGATGCCGGAGGCCACACATCACAGCGCCGATCAGTGCCGGCGATACACCGATTATGGCAATGATGTATATCTGTGTGGTTGTTGTGGTGGTAGTGGTCGTCGAGTTGTTGCTGTTGGTTGTCTGACTACTACCGGTGCTTCCGATGTTGTCCCGGTATAGTCGATGACCACCACCACCGCCTCCTCCTCCTCCGCCATCGTCTACAATAGACTTCTGGATGGCATCTGTAAGCTCTTTGTCCAGCGGTTGCCGTACAAGATATACACGATATTCAGTATTATTATTATTGTTGGCTATACTGTCTATGTTTGGCACAGGTATCAGCATCGATGTCGTACCACCACTACTACCACTACTACTACTTAGGCTTTCAAGTGCCGATTCAAATGATATGCCGCCTCCTATTGTTGTACTACTGTTTAGGGTTAGGTCGACAGCATTGGCATCGTATAACAGGCCAGTGATGGTCACAATTAGGACAAACATTATATGTTTGTTTGACTGTCTATCTATACGACCCACTTATAACTTCATATACATGTTGTATATATACAAAAAAAATATTATAGTTTTTAATTTTTAAAAAAATATAAATTCATTAAATATATTAAAAATTTTTGTTGTTTTTTCAGTTATTTTTTTTTTATCAAACAAAAACACGCATTTAGTTTATGTCGCGCGGGAGGCGCCGCCGTCCAAACAAATAAATGGTCGACACATTAGTGGGTTATTATTATTATTATTATTATTATTTGTATTATTAATATTTTATGGGATGTATTGATGCGTTGAAAATAATAAACAATTACATCACTCAGTCGTTTAGTTAGTATTAGTTTTTAGTTTTTCTCAATCATCAAAACAAAATCCAAGGCAATTGTGTTGTCGACTATTTTTTACTACTTTTTTTTAAAAAAATAAAAACTATTTAAGAAAAATAACACTAATATATAATATATGATATGAAAAGTTGTTTCTCTCTCTCTCTCTCTCTTTTACTCTCTCTCTCTCTCTCTCTCTCTCTCTCTCTCTCTCTATGGTAAGGCTTATATACATCCAAACAGTTTGTATGTTTGAAATGTTCTCTCTCTCTCTCTCTCTCTCTCTCTCTCTCTCTTACTCTCTCTCTCTCTCTCTCTCTCTCTCTCTCTCTCTCTCTCTATCTCTCTCTTTCAAACATTCAAACTGTTTGGTATATAAGCTTTAACATAGAGAGAGAGAGAGAGAGAGAGAGAGAGAGCTGCTCGAGGCTAGAGATCAGCCATTCATACATAACTATACATACGATCCAAACATCCGACGACCGACACGATTGCCATTCAGTTTATTTAGTTATGTTTTGTTAGTCAGTCAGTCAGTTAGTCAGTGAAATAAATTTGTGAATCCAATGAGTAAAACAACATTTAATATAATAATTATTTTTTTTATTATTTTATTAAAAAACTTGTTAAACAACTTTCACCATTGGTTTTCATTATTATTATTATTATTATTATTACTATACTATTATTCAATTTGAATTCAATTCATTCAAGGATTTCTTCTATTTTATTAATTACAGTAAATAGTTATATATATTATGTATAATACACAGACACACACACACACACACACACACACACACACACACACACACACACACTATAGTATATAATAGATATTCATAACATTAAAATGGCATAACATTATACATATTTTTAAAATTTTTTTGTGGCTTCAATTTTAAACTTTTTTTTTAAAAAAAAAATTATTAACTTATAATTAATTCAATACATAAGTTGAATACATATCCATAACTAATACTTTTAACAAATTTTGAAAATTGAATACATATTGTTTTTATATGGTTTTAATAAATATAATGAAAACATATATATATATATATATATATATATATATATATATACCGGTATATATATATTGTTTATTTAAAATTAAATAATTTGATATTTTAGTAATACCGGAAAAGTGCAAAATAACATTGTATTTACATAATATATTTGAATATAATATATATAATATAATATACTGTATGTAATATAATATTAAATTTTATAAACTTATATAAAACTTTGATGAATAGATTATTTTTTTTGTTTAAACGATAAATACAGTAATATATTATATGATATTATATGGAAATTATTTTTTCTATCAATTTTGTTTTCAATTTAAATTCAATATATAATATATATATATATATACTGTACTTTTCAATATCAATGATATAATACTACAGTATATTAAATTTAATACCAAATTTATTAAAAATAATAATAATAATAAAAATTTGGAAACATTTTCAATTAAATGAATATTTATTTTATTTTTTGTTATAAACAATAATACCATTTGAAAAAATATATTTTTTGTATTCAATAATATTGATATACAGTATACTTAAAGTGATTCATGTTTTTATAATATATATATATATATATATATATATACAGTACTAACAAATGTCAATGTCATTATCAAATATTTTTATTGAAAATAAAAAATTAAAAAATAATAAATGTGGGTAGTCATAATATTTGAAATATTTATAATATAATAGAAAATTTATAATTTTATATTAAATAAAAAAACATATATATTTATATATAAAATAAATTGCAAAAAAAATTTAGGAGTTGTTAAGTCATAAAATTAAAATAATAACCAAAAATAATTGCACCTAGATAAATTTATACTGTACAATATATAATTTGTTTCAAACATAATTTAAAATGTTAAAAAACTTTTTTTTAAATAATAATAATTAAAAAATAAATTTAACTAGATATGGAAATTGATAAATAAAAATTATCTTGAGCATTTTTTTTAACAACAACAATGTATTTAAGTATAACCACCATGAATTTAGATAAGTAAATATCAATTTACATTATATACTGTATATATATATATTACAGTAGAGTATTATATCTTATAAGTTATAAATAACATAACTTATAAATATAACATAACTTTATTTTTTTTAAATTATACCGGCTAATATTTTTAAAAAAAAAATATCTATACATTTATACTACACAGTATTATACAGAGAGACAGTATGTTTGTTGTGTTGTCATTACATATACACGCCTATCCTCATCATTGCACAGTTAGTTACAGATATACATGTAATATATTTGCCCAGTAATATGGGATAAACAACCAACAAAATAATAGCATGTTTTTGTGATTACATAGATTGTGACTCATATACATTATCAATAATATGACTGACTGTACATTGAGTTTGTGATTACAATAAAATACTGTAAATAAAATATAATAATAATACTAATAAAACACTTGTCATTTTAATATAACATTATTACTAAGCAAAAATAATAATTATTAAATTTTAATTATTAACAAATAAAATTATATATATATATAAGTTTAGTACAAATAACTAAAAAATCATTTTATCAAAAATTAAATATTAATATAAATATCAATTGTTTTTTTTAATATAACAAAAATACAGGTATGTCATATATATATATATATATATATATATATAATTAAATTATTGTATAAAATATTTGTTACTATTTTATTATTATTAATATTGTTAGCAATTTAGTAGTCATAAAAATTATTATTTGATATACAATATATATAAAGTCTATAATAAATCATAAAATTTAATTAATACTATTATTAATAAATATATACTGTATATACAGTTAGTTATAATTTATAACATTTCATAAAAAAAATTATAATAATTTACTAATACTTTGAAAAAAATTATTTTTTTTCAACTAATTTATTAACTATTTGTATAGTTTTGTAATAATAATAATAATGATATAAATCATTAATATTTCAGGATTTAAATACTAATACTATTTAAAAAATCTATTTTTTATAGATTTAAAAACAATGTCTTCATCGCTATCATCGCCACTATTGGACTTTACGTTTAAGATATACAAACAGTTAGCCGCCGCCGATGGCCAACAAAACGTAGTATTTTCGCCCGTTTCCTTATCGGCCGCCCTATCGCTGGCACTGTTGGGCACCGGCAGTACAACTGGCCAACAGCTGGCCCTGGCGTTGTTTGGCAAAACTATTGGCCACCACTCAGCCGCCGATAGTGAATATGAATCGCTGGCCAAACAAATTGGTGAACTATTTTCGGCAACATTGGCCAACAATTCGACAGCCGTCCAAAATGCAAACCTTATCTATACGGACCATAAATTTACAGTTGAAGAGGAATACAGGCGATTAGTGACCAAATATTTGTCGGCAACGGCCCGACAATTGGATTTCAAAAGTCGGGAAGCAGTTCAGGTGATCAACGCTGACATCAGTAGTGCAACTAATGGCAAAATTCAGGATATCATCCAAAGTATCGACAATATGACGGTCGCTATACTGGCCAATGCCCTCTACTTCAAAGGTGTCTGGAAATCGCAGTTTAATAAAGACCTGACATTTACGGACAAGTTTACGACCGCCTCGGGCAACAAAATCGATGTCCAGATGATGTATCAGCACTACTATCAGCGATTGCCGTTCGGCTATAGTCAACGATTGAAGACCCGAGCCGTTGAACTGGACTATAGTAATTGTGAGGCCACTATGTTGTTGCTATTGCCCGACGACGATAAGGAGGACAACCAGACATTAGGACAGTTGGTTAGTCAGTTGAATGCCGAAACACTCAACGAACTGGTAGCTGGTATGCGCCGTATTGAAGTAGATCTGTATTTACCGAAATTTAAAGTGGAATCTAGTCATCAGCTAATACCGGCGCTAAACAAATCGGGAATTACCGAAATGTTTGACCAGAGCGGTGCAGCCGACTTTAGCCGACTATCGGCCAATGGTGGTGTCTATATATCTCAAGTCTACCAGAAAGTAGTTATCGATATGTCCGAAGAGGGTACGGAAGCAGCGGCCGCTACAGTCATTGTGGCCAACTGTATGTCAATGCCTAGGATGGAGACGTTCAAAGCCGATCGGCCATTCCTGTATCTATTGGTCACCAAATCGGCTGGCGATGACAACAACCAGATATCGTCGATACTGTTTATGGGTGAATGCAATGATCCCAGTGCTTAAAAACTACCGGTGTATATATACCACCACTACTACTACTACTACACTATATTACTATTAGACAAAAATAAAATTTAAAAATTTATTTTTTTATTTAATTAATTATTATATATTTATAATTATTATATAAATACATACAGTATTGTTATTGTTGAGAATAAAATTGTTGTTTAATTAATAATTTTAAAAAAAATTAATACAACTTTTCATATAAAAAAATTTATATATAAATTACTGTATAATATAAGGCAAATACAGTATAAGTAAAATTATAATAATAATAATAAAACTAAAAATAATTTATATAATTAATAATTATAATAATAATAATAATTAAAAAGTATATATAAAACAAAAAGTTTTCACATATTTCGGTACAGTATTTCATTATATATATCAATATCGGGAAAGGCATACATACATACAGTACATACATACCTGTAATAACCGGTAATTAAAAATATTAAGGCAATTGTTTTGTTTAAATTAAGGCATTCATTCAATAGCCCCAGAGATTTATACTTTTTTTTTAAAAAAATGTTTGCGTTTTTTTTGTGAGCAAAAAAATAATACTTATTTATATAAAGCTATTTAAAACATAGAGAGAGATATATATATATATATAGAGACGGGGGACGGGATGTGCGGACAGTGACCACTCATGTGGTAGTGGTGGTGGTCGGGTCTGTGTGTGTGTGTGTGTGCGCATCCATATCTAATCGGTGGCCAATCCACTACCGTTACTTTGGTTACTACCGTTGTGCGGCTGCTGGTGTTGTTGGTGTCTTTGGTCACCGACATGGGTGGCGGCGGCCGTTCCCGAGGAGGAAGAGGACAGTTGTTTTTGATTCATTTGCATCTCTTTTTGCATCCTATCAATCATTTCTTGCATCCGATGCAATTCGGCCTCTTTTTCCTGAAGTAGTCGATCTCTTTGCAGGTCATCGGCCGACGACGCTATACTAATACTGTCCCCGTAATTGCTTCGTAGGTCCGAATTGGACGATCCGCTAGTTGTTTTGTTGACCAATCGCTGGGATCGATAGTTTTCGTAATGTAAATCTTGGGTAACTTCCCTCAAATCTTGCATATGTGTGACCAACATTGTCCTGAGTTTAACAAAGTCCGAGTGTTCCGGGTTTTCCGTTTCGACAATACCCCACGGATATGAACGGCCACGTACTTTGCGACCTTTGACCTCGTAGGTCTCCAACGATGACGACACCGCAAACGGTATGGCCGACTTCAGCTGCCGAACCTGTTCCTTATAGTCTTCATCTTCGTCGGGATCGCAATCGGGTATCGAATAGATTTGTATGGACTGGGCTTTCAGGTCGGCCAGTATACGCTTTTTGGCCGTCAATAGTTCATCTTTGGTCAGAAAATCGGATTTGGCCACAATCGGTATGACATTGACTTTCTGATGCAACGATTTCATTGTCTGTATGTCCAGCGGTTTCAGACCGTAATTGTTTGGCGATATAAAATAAAACAGACAATGAATACGGGTATCGTTAATGTGTCGGCGATTTAGACCCGATTCGTGATTCAAATATTTTTCGTATTGTTCGTCGATGTAGTCGATGATCGGTCGGCAACAGTCGGACGAGTCCAGTGAATCGCCGAAACCGGGCGTATCGACCACTATAGGTGGAGGTGTGTCCACCGAAAAAAACAACTAATTAGTCAATCAATCAAACCGATGGTCAACTATCATAACTAACCGGTTAGCTTGAGTTTGACGCCCCGTTCCTCAATATCCAGTGTATTGGTTTCGATCTTCAATGTCGACTCCAGTTGATCGCTGACCGGCGGTATACGGCGGGCTTTTTGAACACCAATAGGATGGGCGGCGGCGGCGGAGCCGGGAGTGGCGGCAGTCGAGGACGAGGCAAACATCGACTTGATTAGCGTAGACTTGCCGAGACCGCTATCGCCGACCACCATCAGCGTAAACTCGAAACCTTTTTTCACATATTTTCGGTGGACCTGATTCGGTAGATTACCGAACCCGAGATAGTTGGTGGTCTCAACCGACATAACTATCCTATGTGTGGTTAGTATAGATGGGCGGGTGTGTGTGTGTGTGTGATAGGTCTAGTAGTGTTGCGATATCGGTCGGTGGGTTATGACAAGCAAGTGGTGGCCAATAGGACGGACGGACGGACGGGTGACAAATCAATCGGACAACTAATAGTACCGCAAATAATAAGTTAATTAATTGATGATAAAAAAAGTTTTTTTTTTTATTGGTTACCGATTATTAGGCTATAGTTTACTATACATTGTGTATATGACTGACTGTTTTAATGTTTGAAACAAACAAATAATTGTTTGACTGCTTTTTCAAACATACAGTACATATGCTATGAGAGTGCGCCCTATTATGTACAGACAGTACATGTATTTACTAGGGTTGGAAAAATACAAGGTTTTTGAATTTTTTTTGTTGAACTTTTTGTATAATACATGTATTATACAAATTTTAAAACTAATATACTGTATGTTAAAATAAAATTACTTTTTAAAAAATATTTAGTAAAAATATAATTACTAGAAAAATGCATTATTATTATAATCGTTGTTTTTTTAAGTTATAAAAAATCAAATAATTTAAAATACAATTCAATAATAAAAATAATAATATTAAATCTATATTTATTATTATTATATGAAACATGATTTACTTTTTACTATATCAATGCTTTTTAGCAATAGGTGGCCCTAAAAAAAGTTTTTTTGTTTGTTAAACCAAATTGGTCATGTATTATACTGTACTGTGCGTATAATACGCTTTGTATTATATATATAATATATATTATATATACAAACATTTTGTCACTGCCAACACTGGTAGTTAAGGTACGGGTGCTCTCAAACTTGATGATGGCTTTATACATGTATATTATACACTGTATTATACAGTCTGTATAATATACATGTATATAATATACTTGTATTTTAAAAACAGTTGACTAATTTTGTTATAGTTTGTTTGACAGCACTGTTATGTACACTAACTTTCCTATCCTCTATACTCCCCTTTTTTTCTCCCATCCCATTCAATTGTCATCCGTTTTATCTATAAATATATCTTCAAAATTATTTATAGTATTATTTATTTATAATACTTTTATTTTGTGTTATAAATTTTGTTGTAAATCTCTAAAAACAATATATTATTATATATAACTTTTTTTGTTTAATTATATAACTGTATTAATCTATAATATCATAAATAAATTTATAACTTAAATGATAAACTCCTAAATAATTAATTTAAAAAAAAAATTAAATAATAATTAATTAATTAAAAAAAAAACTTGTAATGAATTAATTAAACATTATATTTTTTCGACATACATATACAGTATGTATACTAATGTATATTTATTTTAGTAAAATAGACAATTTGTACTGGATAATTTTTTTTTTATAAATTAAACAAAACAAAATTATAATATTTATCTAGCTAATTTCATTAGTAAGTTAAATCAATACACATAAATCTAGCCTAACTAATCAAATGTAATTTATAACTGTGATTAAAGCCCTCCCCTTCCCCCCCCCCCGATAACATTATCTTAATTATGATTTATTATAATTAAACAACATTTATAGGTAGTATAACTAAATCACATAATTATTATACAAAAATTTATTGCGAAAGTGGTGAGGGGTGGGTGGGTGGGTGGGGTCCCCTACCTGGGTGTCTAAATTAATTAATAATAGTATATACAGGTAGTAAATAATAATAATAGTTTCAATTTTTTACACACATATACCTACCATATGTTTAAACAAAAATATACAGTAATTTATAAATATATATTACCGTAATATATATTATATAAATTCAAAATTTTTTTTACCCAATATGTTATTATATAATTATTACTTTAATTTTTCATATTTTTTAATTTTACATTCAAAATACAGTATCAAAAAAAATAAATATATATATAATTATAATTATATAATACTACTACAAATAATAATAATAATTTACAATAATAATTGTATTGCACACATACATACATAATTATTTGGGGGGGGGGGTAAATCAAATTATACAATACATATAAACAAAAATTAGACAATTATAGTTATATAAATTAATAAATAATATATTAAATTAATAAATTACTTAATTAAACAAATATATATAAATAAATACAATTAATAAATAAATTACATTTTATGGCAATTGTTTGGGTACTACACCAACAAATAACAAACATTTTTTGTTTGTTTGTTTTGTCGACCACTTTATATATACGGTATATTCAAATTGATTTTTAAAAAATTATTATTACTATTAATTTGTTTGTTTGATTCACACAATTACTGATTAATTATTTATTTATTTATTTATATACTAATGGATATAAATCGGCAATTCTTGTTGTTTATGGATTTATTGTCGAAACGGTTCCAATAGTCTAACATTTCTTTGGTTAGCCGTCGAGCTCTGGCGTATTGGACACTACAACCGCCACCGCTGCTGCCGCCGCTGACCACACCAATGGACAACCGTTTTCGGTGGACAAGCGATCGCTTTCTATTGTTGTTGCTGTTGTGGTGATCGTTGTGACACCAATTGGCAATCTTCTGGCAATTGTTTAGCGACTGTTTTCGCTGAATTTGTCGCCGTTTGTAAGCTCTGGGTATATCTTTGCGGGCCATTTCTGTCCACAGGCGTCTACGGCGGGCATTCATTGACGACTGATAGTCGCTGACCAGCGGCAAACTCGTTGAGGTCATTGTCATCGTCATCGGCGTAGTAGTAGTCATCGACTGTTTATTGTTCAGTAATATCGATGATGAACTGGTGGTGGAAGTAACTGACGGTAGATTTGGTATCAAAAAATTTGTTATCAACTGGTGTTGTTGGTGTGGGTGTGTCAGTGGTGATGGTGTCGGCGTCGGCGGCAGCGGCTGTGATGATAATAATAATGTTTTTTGTTGTACAGTTGAACTATACATGTCGTCGACAGTGTCGAAGATATTATCGGTCAATAGACGATTGGTTACATAACTACTACTACCAGTAGTAGTGGTAGTAGTAGTTCCGGTCGATAGTTGTTGTTGTTGTTGTTGTTGTTGTTCAACATATGGACTATCCGTTTGAAAGATCTCTTTTGGCAGCTGTGTATCGTATGGTATGTCGTTTAAGTCGTTGTTTAAAATCTTCTTCAGTTTTGTTGCAATTTTAATTGAATTTGTGGTGTCGTCCAGTAGTAGCAGCGGTGACGGATCAGTACCGATCAGTAGAGCCGATGATAAACTACTTCTACTACTACTACTACTGGAGTTTGTTGTGGTGATGGCGGCCGCGGCGGCGGCTGCCTCTGAATACAATGATTTAATTGGTATCATATCGGCAACAGTACCCGTGATGACTGTTATCGGTGGTATAGTTATTATTGTTGGTTTTATCGACATTGATGTCGTTGTTGTTTTTGTTGACTTTGATCTACCGTTTCGGTGGCTCTCCTTTTTGGGCTTTTTATTAGTAGTGGTGGCGGTTGTGGTAGTCGTTGTCTTCATGGACGACGACGACGACACCATAAACTCATCTTGAATTGGATTCAATAGACTTGTACTGTTGTAGTGTTGTTGATATTGTATAAGCTGTTGTGGATCAGCAGCGGCTGTTTGATGGCGACAATCGTCCCTAACTTTCTTATCCAGTCTATGAAAGCGAAGCATTTCGCGAATACAATCATCGGATTTCATGTTCGCCGCCGACAACGACAACGACAACGACGACGACGATGACGACAACAACTCTAAGTCGACATCGGATTCATCATCTGTTTGATGGCCGCCGCCATCGAGAATGACATCTTTAAGCCATTTCTTTTCGTTCTTCTTGACTTTCGACAGACTATAGATTCGTGTCTTTACAGCTGTTTTCGACTGCTGTTTAGTAGTCTTGGCTGTTGCGATGGTATTGAGCTCTTCGTCCAAACTTTTTTTTATAGGGAAATACAAGACAACATGTTTTTAATAGTCTATATTGTCGGCCGCCGCCGCCGGAAACACACAATCAGTGGCCAACCAACTAACCTATCGTCGTTGTTGAGTGTCCTCTCCACTTGAGCTATCAGACCGTCCAGACTGCCGATCGACGTCCAATCGAGTTGTCGTTGTGGTCGCCGTCGCTGCAAACACATAGACGCCGCCGTACTATTGGCCAACATCGGTTCACATCGGGTACTGCCGATATTCATTGCGTAATGATAGGGATGATGATGGCCACCACCACCGCCGCCGCCACCAACACCACCACTGGCCACAGTATCGGTCATTGTGTGGCCGTTATTATCATATAAAGTGGACACTAATAATAATTAAGTTGACTTTTTTAACACTATATAGCCGTACAATACTTTTAACTAAATAACAAATCAATTGATAATTAATTTAGTTTCTAATAATTAATAGAGTTTTATGGCATTTATTATAATCACATTATAATAGTTATAACAAACCTGTTGTCCTAAGTTTTAATGGTCCTAACAATCAATCAATCAATTGATATAATCAAACAGTTTGTTAATAATTTTTACACATGTTTTCATACATACAATACAACTAACACACAAATAAAATCAATAAATTTTTTTTTATATAATAATTTTTTTTTAATTATTAATAAAAATGTTTCGTAATTTACTAATAATTAAATTTATTATTAAATTTATTAATTCAATTAGTATTCACAAATCAAATGTGTATTTCAATAATACATATGATATGATATATCCATTCAATGTTTACTATTAGAGAAAAAAATATATCATATATTTATTATTAAATTTTTTTTCACTTTCAATGACTGTATAATAATAATATAATAAAAATAATATCAATAATAATAAATTACGTCAAAAAATATAAAACGTTATTTTGAATGAAACAAAAAAGTTAAGTTTTTTTTAAAAATAATTTATATCGTTATTTATTATCAATAACAAAAAAATTACAAATAAAATATACACATGTATGAATTTACCCCCCCCCCATTTCCCCCAAATTAAACTAGTTAAAACTAGTTATGATTATTATTATTATTGAAACTAAATAAATAAATTTTTATTGATTGATATCAAAATTATTTTATATCATCTGATTAGTGACTTATTTTTATTTAATAATTTTTATTTTATTATATAATAAATTTTATCAATAAAATACTACTGTAATTAAAAAAAAAAATTATAACCAATTATAGCTAACAATAACCAAATCTAACCAAAAATATAATCATCTAAGTAATCATATCATTAGTTATTATTATTATTATTATTATAAAACTTATTTTTGTTATATAAGATAATAAAACTTAAATATTTTTGATAATGTCTATCAATACAATCAAATTAAATATAAATATTTAATAAATTGAACCAAAAAAAATAAAACTAAATTTAATTAAATACTCAAAAATAAACCACACTTTTGTAATAAACAATACATTTTGTTTTGTTGTATAATTTAATAAATTTATTACACACACACACACACATAAAATTATACAATCAATTATATTAATTAATTAATTAATTAATTAATTACTAAAACATCTATACATGTCATATCATAATTTAAAATGGGTAATAAATATTATTAAATATTAATATAAATTAATCTACAAAAAAAACATATACACAATTGATTTTTTTTAATATATATATAATTTAAATAAATTATAATTATTATTATTATTATCCTAAAAAAAAAATTTATGAAATCAGATCAATCCGTATATTTCTTGTACAATATTGTCGTCCCGTTGATGGCCATCAATGAGATAAGTGGTTAGCCGACCCTTGCCTTTGATAATCATAGTTCCCCTGCATTTGGGCCGAAAATCCGATTCAAATGCAATAAGAATTTTGGCCACTTCTTCGGTAGTGTGAATCTTATCGGGCAATCCATTGGTGTCCATACGGCTGGCGACGTTCACTAATAATAGCCAACCAACCAATCAAATTGAATGATAATAATAATATTAATTGAAATATTTGGATATAATTTAAGATAATTTAATAATTAATTGCTTTATAACACATACACACACACACACACACATATACATAAATACATACATACTGTACAAACACATACACACACATGCATACTGTACAAACATATACACACACACACACACACACACACACACATACTGTACAAACACACACACACACACACACACACACACACACACATACATACATACATACATACATACATACATACATACATACATACATACATACATACATACATACATACATACATACATACATACATACATACATACATACATACATACATACATACATACATACATACATACATACATACATACATACATACATACATACATACATACATACATACATACATACATACATACATACATACATACATACATACATACATACATACATACATACATACATACATACATACATACATACATACATACATACATACATACATACATACATACATACATACATACATACATACATACATACATACATACATACATACATACATACATACATACATACATACATACATACATACATACATACATACATACATACATACATACATACATACATACATACATACATACATACATACATACATACATACATACATACATACATACATACATACATACATACATACATACATACATACATACATACATACATACATACATACATACATACATACATACATACATACATACATACATACATACATACATACATACATACATACATACATACATACATACATACATACATACATACATACATACATACATACATACATACATACATACATACATACATACATACATACATACATACATACATACATACATACATACATACATACATACATACATACATACATACATACATACATACATACATACATACATACATACATACATACATACATACATACATACATACATACATACATACATACATACATACATACATACATACATACATACATACATACATACATACATACATACATACATACATACATACATACATACATACATACATACATACATACATACATACATACATACATACATACATACATACATACATACATACATACATACATACATACATACATACATACATACATACATACATACATACATACATACATACATACATACATACATACATACATACATACATACATACATACATACATACATACATACATACATACATACATACATACATACATACATACATACATACATACATACATACATACATACATACATACATACATACATACATACATACATACATACATACATACATACATACATACATACATACATACATACATACATACATACATACATACATACATACATACATACATACATACATACATACATACATACATACATACATACATACATACATACATACATACATACATACATACATACATACATACATACATACATACATACATACATACATACATACATACATACATACATACATACATACATACATACATACATACATACATACATACATACATACATACATACATACATACATACATACATACATACATACATACATACATACATACATACATACATACATACATACATACATACATACATACATACATACATACATACATACATACATACATACATACATACATACATACATACATACATACATACATACATACATACATACATACATACATACATACATACATACATACATACATACATACATACATACATACATACATACATACATACATACATACATACATACATACATACATACATACATACATACATACATACATACATACATACATACATACATACATACATACATACATACATACATACATACATACATACATACATACATACATACATACATACATACATACATACATACATACATACATACATACATACATACATACATACATACATACATACATACATACATACATACATACATACATACATACATACATACATACATACATACATACATACATACATACATACATACATACATACATACATACATACATACATACATACATACATACATACATACATACATACATACATACATACATACATACATACATACATACATACATACATACATACATACATACATACATACATACATACATACATACATACATACATACATACATACATACATACATACATACATACATACATACATACATACATACATACATACATACATACATACATACATACATACATACATACATACATACATACATACATACATACATACATACATACATACATACATACATACATACATACATACATACATACATACATACATACATACATACATACATACATACATACATACATACATACATACATACATACATACATACATACATACATACATACATACATACATACATACATACATACATACATACATACATACATACATACATACATACATACATACATACATACATACATACATACATACATACATACATACATACTGTACAAACACAGACACACACACATACATACATACATACTGTACAAACACATACACACACATACATACTGTACAAACACATACACATACACATACACATACACATACACATACACATACACATACACATACACATACACATACACATACACATACACATACACATACACATACACATACACATACACATACACATACACATACACATACACATACACATACACATACACATACACATACACATACACATACACATACACATACACATACACATACACATACACATACACATACACATACACATACACATACACATACACATACACATACACATACACATACACATACACATACCTGTGTCGCCCCATATATCGTACTGTGGCTTAACTGAACCGACAACTAGATTGCAAAAAATAAATAAATTTGTTTAAATAAATTATTTTTTTTTTAAATTAAAAATAAATATCTAAGCTATACCTCCAGCAATGACCGGTCCCATTGCTATACCGATTCTCAATTGAAAATCCCTGTGCAGTTCATCCGACTCTTTCATACGGTTATTAAATTTTCTCAATGTCTTCATCATAGCCATAGCAAATCGGATCAATACATAAAGATTTTCTAACTGTTCCTCAACACTGATAACACTCTATGCAAATAAAAAAATATAAATACATATATATATATATATATATATATATCAGGGTTGCTAAATGTTTTCGATTTCATGGGAGGGCATAGGGGGGGGGGGGGGGGTATACGGCAAAAAATCTCTTAAAAGTTTGGGGGTATAGGGGGTGAACATTTTTTAATTGCATTTTTAAACGACAATTTTTTCCAAATTTAAGTAAATTCTCAATAAATTTCCAAATAAATTTCCAATTAATTCTCAATAAATTCCTAATAAATGCCCACTAAATTCCCAATAAATTCTCAATAAATTCTCAATAAATTCTCAATAAATTCCCAATAAATTCCCAATAAATTCTCAATAAATTCCCAATAAATACCTAATAAATACCTAATAAATTCTCAATAAATTCCCACTAAATTCTCAATAAATTCTCAATAAATTCCTACTAAAATCCCAATTAATGCCCAATAAAATCCCACTAAAATTCCCACTAAATTAATAATAAATAAATTTAAAAAATAAATATCACACAATTAAAAAAATACTTACATCTACTGAACCTCTACCTGGTTTCAGTCCCGAAGCGGCCATATAAGTGCTGCCAATTGTTTTGATTTTTTCAATTTTATGACTAAACGTCGGTACAGCCAATAACTAATGAGAGAAAATAATTACCGATAATTATAACCGGAAAATAAAAAATATTTTTGTTGAATACCCGATCAAATTCACAGATAATCTCATTTAAAATTCCCAATATTTTCAGACCGTCATCGGCATCGGTATCGGACTCATTGATAAAAAAGTTAGGTATAGCCGCAAACATTACCGCTATTGAACTATAGGCCTCGTAGTATAGATCATCGACAGTGATGGCATCGGGTGTATTCAACAGATACCGTTCCGCTACATGTATGGGCAGAATATTTTTCAATAATAACTGGTTGATATCGCGGGTAACTTTTGCTTCGTGTCGTTCCCGTTTGAGTTTGGCTGACCATAGAAAGTCCAATCGGAGGATATACTCGATTTGTCGGTCAATTATGTAAAACATTAGATAGACAACAAACAGGTACTGCATGTGAGCTAATCGAGGACTGAAAAACTCCAGTTCCTGGACATCCTGTTTATTATAGAATGTGTCGATTTTCAGGAATACTGAACATCGATGATGTTGGGTCAGGGCGTTGACCAATACCAGGCTAACTGTGCTCAATATGAATTTCAGCCATAGAGTTATACGGATGAACATCGATATGGATGTTATGGCCAATACTGTTGAATAGGTATAGTAACGGCTCTTTGTATATAATTGTGTTGAAAAAAAAATTAATTGTTAAATAAGTTATTTTTGTTTTAAAAAAAATTAACCGTATGTACGCGCATATAGCCCCCCCTCCACCTAGCTTGTTTTTAAGTAATAAAAATCAACTTTTTAGATGGGGCTGTAACTCATATATATATATATATATATACCCCCTTTACTGGGGCTATATGTGAAGTTGTGGGGGGAGGGTAGGAAACGATAGGGTATGGTTCAACATAGTGTTAATTTTAGATATTATTTAAAAAAAACTTCAATAGTGGGGCTATTTGTCAATTCAATAAATCAAACTTTTTAGTATAGGGGCTGTAATATAATGTTACATGTTAATGGGGGCTGTAATTCACATATAACCCCGTATACCTTAGGGGGGGGGCTATATGCGCGTACGGACGGTATATGTATTTTTTTAAATACCCATTTATAAAGACATTCGTGACTATTGTTATGTCGATCGATGTCTTCAATACGTTCCTCTTGAGTCTTAACCCGATCGCTGACCGGACACTGGATCTGTTCCAGTGATGCAATCAATATCAATGAAAATGTTATCGAAAACCAGATTAATACTCTGTAATAGTAGGGAATCTGAAAATTTAAAAAATTAAAAAAATAAATTTACCACAAAAAACATTAGTAATCAATAATAAAATAAATTAATTTACGAAAATTTACAGAAAATTATTAATATATAATTATAATTATATAATAAATTAATTTAGTTGTAAATGTTATTTAAAAAAACAAAATTTCATAAATCCTTTTAATACAAATAAAATAAACATATTTATGGTAATCTAAATGTTAATCTAAAATATAATAAATAAATAAATCTAAAGTATAAGTTAATTTAAATATATAAATAATTATCAATTATATTTATAAAAACTATTTATAATAATAACAAATATTTTAATAGATATTAATATTATATTAATATTATATTATATTATTAATATTAAATAATTATAATATTAAATTATTATAACCTAATATTTTAATAGATAGGCAAACTAATGTAATAAAATTTTTTTTGAATATAATTTTTAAAAAAAACTTTTTATTAGTTTATTTTCTAATCATCTCTATTATCAGTTTAGTCAGACTAATATCTGGGGGACAGTTAGATACAAATTGGGGAATATATTAGTTACTAAAATAGATACTATTAGACAGGCTAATCTGGGGGACAGTTAGATATAAATTGGAGGTATATATTAGATACTAAAATAGATTTAAATAGACAGACAGATATGGGGGAGGGGTAGGACAGGGAGGACATACAAATACACACACACACACACACACATACACACACACACATACACACACACATACACACACACATACACACATACACACACACATACACACATACACACACACATACACACACACACATACACACATACACACATACACACACACACACACACATACACACACACATACATACACACACATACACAGACATACACACACATACACATACAAATACACACACACACACACACACACATACATACACATACACACACACATACATACACACACATACACAGACATACACACACATACACATACAAATACACACACACACACACACATACACACACACATACATACACACACATACACAGACATACACACACATACACATACAAATACACACACACACACACACACACATACACACACATACACACACACATACACACACACACACACACACACATACACACACACATACATACACACACATACACAGACATACACACACATACACATACAAATACACACACACACACACACACACATACACACACATACACACACACATACACACATACACACACATACACACATACACACACACCTATAGTGGTCTAATAAATACCTCATGTTTTCTATAGTGAATGATAAACAATGAACAACTGATGATAGCAATGGTAAAGTAGAAGACAATACTGCCATTAGTATACCAAAACTCTAGCCAATCGGTATGTTCATCATATAGTGTCAAAAAACGGATGACCATAATGGCCACACTTATTATCGCCGAACAGTACAAATAAATCGGAAACATTTGGTCATTTTCGGTCAAATATTTCAATTCATTTGGTTTATCCACTGTATGGATATGTTTGACAGGATTTTTGCCCAAATCTTTCATTGTTTGCTGTTTTTTCGGTATAAAGTGTAGTAAATGTGGATTAATTTCCAGAGACGGATGCGATATATCGTATTGTCTTTTAAAATAAATTAATTATTAAATAATTAAATATATATATATAAATATTAATTAAATAATTAATTAATAAATTATTAAAAATATATGTAAATATTAATTTTAAAAAAATAACTAATTAAAAAAAATAGTGCAACAAAAAATATTATACAAAATATAAATAACTATTAATTATTTTTGGTTCACATAATTATTATTTAAAAAAAATAAAATAAAATTTAGTTTCTTATTATTTTTTTGTGTTTTAGATATTTTAAATGATTTTATGGTTTTTATTTTTGGTGGTGGTTTGTTTTTGGTATATGTATTATCTATTTATTTATCTATTTATTTATTTAATTATTTATTTAATTTTTGATTATTATTATTATTATTATCACCAAGTTTATTTACCTTCTCAAGTTAAGTGGCATCTTATCGATTGCATTAGACATGGTATCGGTGGCAAAGTTTAACATTTTGCGAAATTGCTCTAAACTATTGAATTAAATAAAAACAAAAATAACAAAAACATTTTAATATAAATCTGTAAAAATTTAATAATTATTATCAATAAAATAATAAATTAAATAAAAATCGCGAGAAATTATTTTTTTTAATCATCAATAGTATCAAACTTATCAATAATTTTGTTTTTTTTTTGTTAAGTGATATATATACAGTATATATATATATATATATAGTATATATCACTTAACAAAAATTTATATAATATAAATATATGGTGTTATAAATTATGAGCTTATAGTAGTAATAGTAGTATCACTAAGATTTTACTAACAATTTTTGATATATATATATATATATATATATATATATTGATATATAATATTATTGATAAATTTTTAGATAAAATATATAATTTATTTTTCAACAACAAATAATAATAATAATAATAATAATAATAATAATAATAATAATAATAATAATAATAATCAATACCTGTATTCATTGCCTAACTCGAGGACAGTCCTCCTGCGGGACAGGTTTGTTGAACCAATATATGAGGATGATCTGGATGATAATGATGAATTCTACATTAGAGAGGGGGTAGGGGGGTTAAATAAATATTTAATAATTAACATGGTATATTATTGTTTTTTGTTAAAAAAAAAATCAACAATTTTTCAACAAAAACAAAAATAAATAAAAATTTCAAGTTTGCAAAAAAAAAACTTTTATCTAAAATATTCTAATCTATTTTTAATTGAAGTATAAATCAAATTAAAATTATCGTAATATTATTATTATTATTATTATAAGTGCTAGATATGTGTGCACACTATGTAAACTAATTGCACTGTATTTTTTATAATTATAATGATATAATTTATATCAAAAAAATATTTTTATAATATTAAAAAAGGGGATTAAATTTATAATCCCTGCTAATTCACATTTTTCTAAGTTTAAATGATAACATTTTTATTGAAAAAAAAAATCTTAAATAAATTTTGTATGATATCATAAATACTGTATTGCCATGAAATTAAATATATTTATAGACTATTTATAGTATATATTAATTAAATATTTATATATATAAAATAAATTTGTATTAATACTGTACTTACTCTATGATACTTAACTTTATCGACAGTTTTACTTTCGGTACGTGAATATTGTTTGACATATTTTGCGGCCGATAAATGTATTTTTGATTTACGTATCAAATATGTTGTCTCATCCGGGTTTACATTATATTCTGGATTAATATAATATTAATTAATATTTTTTAAAAAAAATAATAAAAAATAAAATAAAACTAAACGACAGCTTTCTATTATTATTATTATTATTATTATTATTATTATTATTATTTTTGATAAAATAAAAATAAAATTGATTTAGGGTTATAAATGGCTATTATTATTATTTTTTATCAATATATTAATTAAACAATAACTTTAAAATTATTAATATGTAAAAATATTGATAATTTGAATTTTTTTTAAATAAAATGTATAGTCATTAAACTATGTCAAAAAAGCTAACTTTATAATAATACTAATTAAATAAAAATTATAAACATTGCTTATATGATTATACATAATTGAAGGTATTTTTTAAAAAAAAAACATATAAATCTACATAAAACTAAATATTTTTACAAAAAATAAATAAATTTACATAAATGTTTATAATATTATGTTTTTTAAAAAAATTAATTTAATAATAATAATACCAAACAATACATATACATACACATACATATAGACACACATACACATACACATACACATACACATACACACACATACACATACACACACATACACATACACATACACATACACATACACATACACACACATACACATACACATACATACACATACATACACATACACATACACATACACATACACATACACATACACATACACATACACATACACATACACATACACATACACATACACATACACATACACATACACATACACATACACATACACATACACATACACATACACATACACATACACATACACATACACATACACATACACATACACATACACATACACATACACATACACATACACATACCTGATATAATAAACTCGGATCTTAAATGTCTGGGTACCAGATCCAGTGTTGTTTTGGTTATGTGTACATAACCGGCCTTACCATCGTGCTCCATGTGCGCGGCTTTCATAGTATCGGCCGACCAGATATCGTATTGCCATTTTTTCAGTCCAATCAGCCCGGATAGTACGGTACCGGTATGTACACCGATCCTCATATTGACGTCCACTTGATATTCATCTTTTATACTTCTAAAATAGTTATAGAAATTAAAAAAATTTTTTATTTTAAATATTTTTTTTTTGTTGAATGAAATATATAATTTGTGTGTAATTTTTTGTTTATGTATATATAAAAAATGTATTTCAAAAATCTTTAATATATATTACTTAATAATTTCAATCATTTCAATACCCATATTAATACAATTGAGCGCATGATTTGGATCGTATTCAGGTATACCACTCACACAATAATAGCAATCGCCTAACAATTTAATTCTCAGACAATTATTAGCCTTTATTTTAAAAAAATAAATTAAAAAAAACAATTAAATTAAATTTAAAAAATTAAATTACCGTATGTCCACGCATATAGTTCCCCCCCATCACATATAAATAATAAATACATTCAACTGGTATGGCATGGCTGGGGCTGTAACTCACATATACCCCCTCCGTCTACTGGGGATATATGTAAAGTTGTGGGGGGTAGTAGGAAACGATAGGGGTAGGGATGGTTCAACTTAATTTTAATACTTAATTTTAGACATTGAAAAAAAACTTCAATAATCGGGAGGGGAGGGCTATTTGTGAATTCATTACAGATTAAACTGGTTTTTTTATATGGGGCTGTATAGCCCACATATAACGCACCATAGTTTTTGCATATAGCCCGGATGCCCCCAAGTGGGGAGGAGGGGGGTATATGCGCGGATACGTACGGTACTAAAAAAATAAAATATTAAATATATATATATAATACTTCGGCTCTATTATCAAATCGGGTAAACAATTCGTTGAGTGTTTCGACCAATGCCTGCGGCGATTCAAGCGATTCGGTCAATAGCATAGAGTTGACAATATCGGCGTACAAAATGGTCACATCCGTAAACTTTTCGACATACAGCTCGTTGAACGGCCGGGAAAACGATTGGTTTTTACTATTGTCACCGTTTGTGTCGGTAGTGGCCATCAGTTGGACGTATTTGGATTTGATATCGCGTTTGACTTTTTGCATCAGATGCTGGGGTAGACATGACCCCAATAGGCCTTCCTGTTGATCCTTTTCGATGTTCAACTTGAACTTGGATTCAACACAACGGCGATGATCGAGAAATGCCCGCCGATTGACAATCTCCAACAAATTGGCCACATAGTAGGCCACACATGCGGCACAACCGTAGAAAAACAGGTCGGATACCAGATATTTATAGTCATCGTAATAGTCGCCGAAAGTGGCCACTGTTGAGTTCAGCATATGCGGTGTCAATAGTTTACAATTAGTATCGGACATATGTGGCCAAACCAAAGTGACAGCCATTTCGATACCGATGATCAACGCAGTGGCCACTATTGAATAGATACGTGAGGGGAACGGTAGTAGTAGTTCGTTGCATATGATCAGATAGTAGACTGGCCTCAAACGTTTCCATTTGAATGTTGAACGATCGCCGGTCAATGTAAATAGGAAACCGCCGTATTCGGCATAAATCATGGCCATCAGTACGGTTATGGCCGCAACGATACGGGCAAACGGTGTGCGCAACCATTTTTCATTGTGATGGGCAATGATGAGGAACGATACGTAGACTATCAGTGCCGATAGTCGCAACATTGCCGGGTATGGAAATATAAAGTCGGTCTATAATATCAATAGTTTGTAAATTAATAAAATGAAATTAATTAAAAATAATTATTTAAATTTTTTTTTTTAGTTTATATTTCTAATAATAATTATAATGATAATGATATTTATAATAATTTTAGAAATTTATTTCTATATATATATATATATATATATATATACAGTAAATATCTATATATATAAATCAAAAATATATTTATAGATAGTATATAACTAGAAAAAAAATAAATAATTTGATATTACATTTGAAAATTGAAAGCAACAACAACAAAAATATTTTCATACAAAACTATTTATAAACTTTTTGTTGTTGTTGTGTTTATTAACTACTATTGTATTTATTGAATATATATATATATATACAGTATATATATTTGTATTTAATATCATATATATATATATATAAGTTGTTTGTTTATTATTGTTATCATTATTTCGCGAAATACCATAATTACATTTGAAAAAATATTCATATACAATATGTAATATATATACTGTATATATTTATATATCTATTTATATATATATATATATATACTAAAATTATATAAATATAATGAAAAATAACTATCATTTTTATGACATTTCCTAATAAGTATTATGTTGTGTACTGTATATGTGTTTGTATAAGAATTTAATGATATTCAAGAATTTCATTACTATTATTATTATTATTATTATTTTAAAAATAGATATTTAATAAATATTAGTTATTACTATCAATTTCAACTATATTGCAATATGAAATTTTTTAATTATATTTATTTTATTAATTGCTATACTGTATATTTATATATATATTTTTTATTTTATTGCAACCTATTGAAATAGATTTTTTTTTTGTTGATTAGCCTAAATAGATAAACTAAAAAAACAACCTATCTAAAAACCAACAAAAATATTTTAAATATATAAATACTATTAAATAATCAAAAAATAATAATTTTTAACATAAGATATTCAACAAACAAACAAATAAAAAACAAAAACATTTATTTTGTTTAAAAAAATATTGTATTTTCTAAATACATTAAAAAAATCAAATAATATCTAAACTTAACATAAGTTACCAAAAAAAACTAAATAATTATATTAATAAATAAACAAAAAGAGAAGATTATAATTATATAATAAGTTTATGAATTTAATTGATTGATATTTTTAATTAATTTTAAATAATTGATTGTTATTTTATAAATTTATTTATTTTACGAAACTTTTTGTATGTATTTCATGACAAGTATTTGAAGTCAAAAAATTATTATTATTACTATTAATTGCTTACTCAAAAAAAACACACAAATAAATAAATTTAAATAAAAAATTACAGATAAACTAACCTTAAAATAAAAATACCAGAAAGTGTCCATAAAATTGATGACAACATTAAGCATCAGTAGTACACTAAACAGCCGGTGCTGTAGTCGTGATTCATACTTCCTGAACAAGACATCATTGCCTTTGGACTTGAACTCAGCTCTCAGTGGTTTCAGTCGCCACTCAAGATCTGCGCCAATATTTTCATCTTTGGTTAGCTCTTCGAAAGTTTCCTTAAGATCTTTATCGACGTCCAGATAGAGTGAACCGGCACTCAGTAGACGCCGGCGCCTATCGTATGGCATCATAATTGCCAAACAATTTTCAGTATTATTATTATATATAGTTTTATATCACCACAAAAAAAACACACACACACAATAAATTCAATACCAAATACATATACAAACAATTAAAAAAAAAAACATAAACTAATAAAACAATATAAAAACTTCACAAACAAACAAACAAACACACCATGAGTTCAGACAACTATTTAATATCAGTAGACATTACTGTAAATACCTAACACAACAACACTAGAGATGACAAACTCTATACCTAAGACACTATACCTAAACACACCAATAGGTGACAAATAATTTTATTTTATTTTTCTAATGTATTCATTAGCTATAATTGAAAACATTTATCAATAAATTTTTTATTACGATTACTACTACTACTACTAATCACTAGTTATTAGTAATAATAATATTAGTAATCATTGCATAGACTTAATGAATTGGTTACCAATGATTATAAGACATACACACACACACACACACACACACATACACACATAAACACACACATACATACACACACACACACACATACATACACACACACATACATACACACACACATACATACATAAACACACACATACATACACACACACACACATACATACACACACACATACATACACACACACATACATACACACACACATACATACACACACACATACATACATACACACACACACACACACACACACACACACACACACACACACACACACACACACACACACTTGAAAAACACTATATATATAATAAGTAATGATATGATAAAAAGCAGGAATTCCTTAGAGGTGTCATAACCTGATAGTTGTCATAATATTAATATATTAAATATATTTTGTCACAAAATTATTATTACTATTACTTTATTAATAATACCCTATAGTTAGTAATCATAGATATCTTAGAAATAAAATAAATATTAGATTTTCTATTATTATCATTATTTTGTAAAAAACGCGTTTTATATCTATATTATAGTAACAATATATCGATATATACTGTATATATACATACACTATGTATAATATATCGATATTATATTAGTTAAATTGATTTATTATTATTTAACAAATATTATTATCTATACAGAAAAAAAAATTTATATCTTAAGTATATATTTATATAAATTTATATATATATATATATATATAACTGAAAACTCCAATAGTGATGATGAGTAGGTATATTGAAATTGATAGCAATAATTGTTTAGTAAATCAAACAAATAAAATCAGGTAATAACGTGTTAATCGCTTAACACATTTCACAATCAAAAAAAAAATAAAATAAAATACGATATGATATATACTAACATAATATAATAGCAATTATAAAATAAAAAAATTAATTATATATATATATATATATATATATATTAATATTTACTTAATAAGACTAAAATAATTTTATATTTATCTAATAAATATAAGCAACAAAAAAAATCAAGTTTAAGATAAAATAAATATATTATAATTTATTATTAATAAATAATGAAATGTTAAGCAGTTTTTAAAGCATTAATTCATAAGTGTCATAACTATTAATAATATAATTGATATGACATTTAAATAAATATTTATAGTTATAATATTAAAGTACAAAAAGTATATTAAATATGACATTAAAACACATTTTTTATGCATACAAAAAAATTTACTATTTTTTTAAAAATTTAATAATATAATACAATTAACATGTATTTTTAAATAGATAAATAATTTAATAATAATAATATTTAAAAAAAACTAGATTTAATTTAATATAAATTGCTAATACATATTAATTAATTTTCAAAAAAAATATTAATTAAAAAAACTATTAATATATAGTACTTATACTGTATATAATAAATTATAATAAATTAATTATCAATTAGTATATTACTTAACTATAAGTACTTAATATATTGAAAACTATTTTAATTTCAATGATAAACTAATGTTTTTAATTTTTTTTAATATAAAAATTATTTTAGTATTAATCACCTAGTTTAATTATAATAATTAAATATATGAAATTGAAAAAATAAAAGATAAACATTTTTTTATATAAGCTTATAATGTTTGATAATTATAATTTTTATTGCACTACAAAATTATGAAAATATTTATTATATTGTATTTACAAAAATAATATAAAAGTTAGAAATTAATAATGATTTTATACAGTATTATATACAGTAATTAATTAAAATTAAGAGCATGCTAAATTAATTAATAAAGTTGTAATTTTATTTGCATAATATTATATATATATATATCAGGGTTAAGCAAGGTTTTAGATTTGGGGGGGGGGTAGACTGGGGTGAAATTTACAAAATTCTCTAAAAATCTGGGGAGGGGGTTATAGGGTTGTATAAACTTTTATTGCATTTTTAAAAGGCAATTTTTTCTAAAATCTAAAATCAAGGGGGGGGGGTTAAGAGAAAATTTCATAAAAATTCCTTAAATTCCCGAATATTCCCATGTAAATTCCATAAAATTTGCATAAGTTCCCGTATAAATTCCCAAAGAAAATAGATAGATTATCCAAAAATTAATTGAATTTTAAACAAAAAAATACAATTATAATGTATTTAAGACTTAAAAATAGTTGATAAAAGCATTAATGATATACTATGAGTTATTTTTAGTATTTTAATAACTTTTAACATAATTAATTTTTTAAAAATACTAATGTTTATAGTTAAATATTTTTATTTTTTAAATGTTGAAAATACTGACTGAATACTAATTATTTAACTTAATTATTATTAAAATTTATTATTATTATTTAATAAATAGAGATAATTGTCTAGTGCTGCACACGGAGGCCGGTCTTACGGAAGCTTACTATCATTTAGCGGCAATGATAGCTGCGGTTAACAATAAAAAGCGGGTCATAGAGTACGCGGATAAATGTGACGATATGTTGGATAAATCAAAACAACGTTGGGATAAATCTGGCCATTTGTTTACTAGAAATGAATTAATTAGGTATTTTTTTAGCTAGATAATTTTTTAAGTTTTGTTTGTAAAAATAAAACTGAAAAAATTACAACCAAAAAAAAGTTATATAAAATATTTATACTACCTTATAGACACGCATATAGCCCCCCCCCCGACACCTAGCCATCAGGGGCTATATATATATATACGAAAATATGGACAATAAGCGAGATATAGCCCCCTACCAACTTTTAATTAATTATTAAAACCCTGGTAAATACCCTTCCCTAGTTAAAATATGCATTTTTAAAACTTGTTAAGGGCGGCTATATGCGAGTCTATACGGTAATATATATATATATATATATAATTAATAAATTATTAAAAATTTTATCTTTAATTCAAAAAATTAAATTCAGATTTTTACGAATTATCTATGAAGAAACAAAGCCTAAATTTCGATATAATTTTTGAATAATTCATTGAATTATGCCGTCCCCCCCCCTCTAAGCCCTTTTATAAACCCTGTCTTCATCTATGGCCATCAGTGGGTTATATGTTAAACTGTGGGTGGGGTGGGGTGGGGGATATGCGATATCAAAAGCCCCGCCGTGAAAACCAAATGTTTCGATTTAATGAACCCCCCCACCCCCCTCACTATACTATTGAAATTTTTTTTAAATATCTAGCTAACATTTACATTGAACCACCCCGTCACCCCCCACCCACCCCCAATGTTTTCCTACCCTTACGACATTACATATAGCCCTAAGTACCAAATGTTTATTATTATTATTATTATTATTTTGAATAATTCACCAGGGTTCTAAATTATAAATAATTATTATTATTATCAACATTTTTAGGTAAAATAATACCTATCTATCGTCTATTATATAATTATATTTTATACAATTTGACATTTAAAAAAAACTACTACTATTATTACCGGTAATCACTATATTATTGTTTAGTTTAAATAAAAAAAACAATTATACAAACATTTATAATTGATTTTGTTTTGTAAGCTATATTACCTTTACTAGTAATAAATTATTTGTAAAAAAAATAATTGAAACGATATGACAATTAAAAAAAAAATAACTTTCTATAAAATCCGATATTTTAATTATTATTATTAGTATTATTATTATACATTAAACTTAATATTCAAGCAAACATACCGTATATATATATATATATATATAAAGTTTTAATTAATTAATAATATTATATAGAAATAGCATCTTTGAAAATATTAAACAAATTGTTATGCAATCCATGGGTTATTTCGATAGCATTCCGAACTGTTTTAATCATATCTAATATCATTGTATTATTATTGTTGACCACTAATAGCATAACTTTCAGCACTCGTACCAATTGGACAGTCAGGTCGGGATGATAGTCACCGTAACACTGTCTATATAGAGGTAGAGTTTCTAAACCAATTTGCATACATTTTTGCCAATCATTTTTTGAATCAATTAGCCGATCAAACTCCTGATCCAATTGTTTAATAGCTAATGCATTGTCGATGAGTTGTTGCTGTTGTTGTTGTTGTTGCGGATCAGTTATCGGTGACGATGATGTCGATGTCAATGATGCTAATGATGATAAACATTGACAACAATTGCAATCAAAATAGTATTGTTCGCGAAGTTTACGCCGACGTTCCGTTGCCGACATCTTCAGATCTAAATAGTTGACCAAAATTTCGTCGGTATCCGAGATCTGGCGGACAGCTCGGACTTCCAGTTCCGTACCGTTGAAAACTGTGGCCGCATTCGGTCGACAACTATGATTGAACTGCGATCCCGACAGGTATAGACCCGAACCGATCGGATTCAGTTCGTCGTTCAGTATGGAGAACGAGTTGATACAGACTTTGCAAAACAATTCAAACAGTAGTTCGCCGTCAAAGTCGATGCCCGAAGCGGTAAATCGTTTGGACATTTCGGTAAAATAGCGCATACGATTGGTATCGGCGGCCACTTCATCGTAGTGTGTCATCAGATCGCCGAGTGATCGACGACTACTGCGGCCGCAGCCGTCGTCGTCTAGTTTATGGCGTCTTAGTTGATGGTCATCATCACCGCCACCGGCTTTTTGGCTATCAGTCAGACATCCAGTACTAGTAGTCGTTAGTAGATATAGTCTTAGAAGAAATCGGTCGCAGTCTCTGTCCATTAGCCACTGGTTGACGCCATCATCGCCGCCGCCGCCGCCGCCGCCACACGAGAAAACTGGACACTCGTTTCGATGACAACCGCCAGACCAGTCCTGTCGCTGACATCTACGGTCGCAATAGTACATTGACTTACAGTTTGAACACTTCTGGAGCTGATCTCTGGTAATGAAAAGGAAGTATAAGAAGTGGTAATTGTTGTCAGATATCAATCAATTGATCGGCAGATCAGCGGACAGCTTATGACTGACTTACCGTTGTTTGAAACAATGGTCGCATCGTTTGGATTTTTGATCGGCACTCAGGGTGTGTACCAGTGGCCGACATCGGACAATAACATCGCCGCAATTGAATCCCATATGTCCTCCGAAAATAAACGACAATTGAAACCAAAATTTTTTTTGTTAACGTTATATAAGTTTTGCGGCAAAAAAACATAAACACAAAACATATTATAATAACAACACATATATTGTAGACATAAATAACGTCAAAAAATCAACAATTTTTCCAAGTTTTCCAATGCATTCATATAGTAATTTGAAAGTAAAATTCAATGACATTATTGATTTTAATGTGATGTTTATTATTATTAATATTAATATTAATATTATTATACAGTATCAATGCTATATTATTATTAAAGACTGTTCAAATTATATTCAAAACCAAAACAATAGTTTACGCACCACCACAAGCGCATAGATTTATCATAGATTACTATTTAATATATACATACACATAAAATAGTGTGTTTGTATATAATAAGTATGTAACATATAGTCTACTCCGCCCTTACCGTAAAATTGTGTTTTATGATATTTCCCATGTGGAATTCATAAAGAAAAAAAAATTAAAATTTTTAATAAACTAGCATTTTTTTCAACCACCCCCTGGTAATAATTAATTAGTAAATTATTATACAAAGCTAAAATAAAAACTATATTTTTCATATGGGGATAAAACTCGCATTATTTCCCTCCCCCCCCCCCAATGACTTTGACATTTCCATATATATGGGGAGAAAAAAACAATGCATTTAAACACTGTATATTGTTTTGTCAATCATTGTTTTGGTTTTGAATACAATCAAATAGTTATTATTATTATTATAATGCAATAATAATAATAAAAACACTTGACTTTACAAACAGTTTTACAATCAGTTAAACACTTATAACACGTTATAACTAATAATATATCAGTGCTTTAAAAAAAGTGGTCACCAATTAGTACCGCAGGACCCGATTATTGGACAACCGCACAATTACCCGACACCCAACTCGTCCAACCCGTCTATTACGGACAACAATATGACATTAAATTGTTTTTTATGAGATAAACACTTAACGCGTTATAACTAATAATATATCAGTGCTTTAAAAAAAAAGTGGTCACCAATTACTACCGCAGGACCCGATTATTGGACAACCGCACAATTACCCGACACCACCCTAGACGGTAACAACAACAATGATTCCGGTCATTTGGGCAGCGGCTCGGGCCTACACACCGTATCTGGTATTTCCGTTTGCAGTGGTCATCGGTGCCGTCGGCTACAAACTCGAGTGGACGTTCAGCGATGTTAGGACACAAGGTTCAAAACAAAAGGACAGTATCGATAAGGAACGATCCGAACGGCAATTGAGGCGATTGTTTGACGACCCGACGGCTGACGCGACCGAAGTCGAGAGTCTGAAACGGCAAACATTTGTACCGAAAAATATTTTTGAACGAAACGTTTCGCCGTCGCTGCAGATGAAGACCACTACCACTGTCTCGGCCGCCGCCGCCGCCGATGACCGCTAATAGTCGGCGGCACTAAAAACCTCGGAAAAAAGTGGTCATATTTTGCGGACAATTAAATCGGTTGTTATGTTTAGTAGTAGTAGTAATACTGTAGTAATAATAATAATAATAAATTTTTTAAATTAATTATAAAAAATAATTAAAATAATAAATTTTATTTATTTATGATATTTTTTTTTTTTTGAAACAAAAATCAAAACAACAAAAAATTTATTAATTATTTTTTTTTTATAATTATATAATTATTATAATATATATATATATATATATATATATATATATATATATATATAGTATCGATGAAATCATTGTTGTCTCTGTTTGGATAGCCGTCATCGATGGTCACCAATTGATGGCTACCAATACTTAAGCCAATACGGTGTATAAATGATAGGCCGACCCTTTTGTAGCAAATATTTTCGGGCAATAAGTTTGCGGTCGAAATGCCAGACATTTTATTATTTAATTAAATTTAATTTGATAATAATAATAATAATAATAAATATTCATACAATACAATTTGAATACTGTTTTTTAAAAATAATATTATGACTGACAATATATATTATATATAATACTGTTTAATAAAATATTTATTTAATAAATTTAAATAAAACCAATATTATCATTTTTTTTAAAAAAAAATATTGATTATTTTGTTGTTTTTCAACTTTATATTAAGTATTTTAAGTATATTATGATATTTTAAGTATCATATTATTATTATTATTATTTTAGTTTATTTAAACACTATTAATGATTTTCAATTTATTTATATTATGTTAAGAAAAACAATTTAATTGTGAAATAAATAAACATATATAATTTAGTAATTTTATTTTATATATATATATATATATATATATATATATATATATATATATAGTTATTATTATTATATACTGTACTGTATATACTATTATATTAACTTATAATATATATCTAATTTTTATTTTAATATAATTTATATTATATTTATGTAATATATATATATTTAGAATTTATAATACATTTTTGATTTATTATCTATAATATAGTTTATTATTAATTAAAATATATTATATAAATATAACTAATACTATTAGTATGCTATTAAAAATTTTAAAAAATTAAACTAATTTTTTTAACAATTAATTATTGTTAATATATTTTTTTTAAAATAGATAGTCAGATATTTAAATGCCAAAAATATATAAACAATTATAAAGATTTAAATAATATACAAATATTTAAAAAATCAATAACTGTTTTAAATAAAAATTGGATAATAATTAATAATTATTATATATTTATTTAAACAGTACTTCTTTTTGATGGCTTTGACTCGCAGTCACACCAATGAAGTTGTTGTTGTTGTTGTAAATTACTGTCTGTTGGATAACAATAGTTATCCAATGGTTTGAATTCAATCCACTGTTGTCTGACTACAACACTATCATCATTAGTAGTAGTAATACTGTTGTTGTCGTCGACATCGATGTTAGCCATCATTTGGTTTGTATTTACCGGTATTTCATAAAACCATTTTTTATAAATTTTAACAACAATTACACAAAACATTATCATTGATACCATAAGTGATGCGCTTATAAGCAATAGATTGTTTTCATTTGGATAACCATTTTGACCATCAATTGAATTATTGAGTTTTTCAACTAATTATTTTTAGTATATTATTGATAATAATAATGAAAATATTAATATTTTTAAAATAAATAAAATTAATTATTTTTAACTTACATTCGAAAGAATTGTTATATATAATAGTTGTCATTTTTTGATTGATTTTTATTAGTTTTATTAATTGAATATATTTAGTATAAACTATTAAAAAATAACTTATAATACTTTATTAGTAGTATTTAATACTACAGTATAAAACATTAATCTAAAACTAAATTTATAATAATACAATTTTATTGATAAATATAAACATCCACATTTTTACATATTAATAGTCAATGCTTATATCAATTTGTTATGATTTTTAAAAAATATTAGTTTACAAAACAATATATTAGTATATATATAATAATAATAATAATATTGTTTTGTATGAAAAATATTACTGTAATATATTATACTATTATTTATAAAATTAATTAAGTTTTTAAACTAATAAAATTAATAAATAATTTAATTCAAAAATTTTTATTCAAAATAATAAACAATATAATTTAAATCAACAAAAATATATTAATAAAAATATTAGATAATATTTATTTTATAAAAATTAAATTATAAAAAAAATTATTTTGTAAAAATTATTATTTTAAAGTATAATTAATAAAATAAATATTAATAATAGTTGTTGAATAATTGTTATGTCATTTTATGTTTGAAATTTTTAGTTTTTAAAAAAATAATATTCAATGATATTGAATAATAATAATAATAATAATAATGCTAATAATAAACACTTATTTTTAGAAATTTAAAAAAAGTCTATTATATTATAGTAGTGTTAAACAAAAATTCAATACAATTTTATTGATAAATATAAACATCCTCATTTTTATGAATTAATAACCAATGTTTACATGTTTTGATTTAAATAGAGTTAGTTTACACTAAAAATAAAAAACAATATTTATAATAATAATAAAAGACAATAATATTATTTAATAGGAGACATAATATTATATTATTATTTATAATAATAATTAATTAGTAAAATTCTAGAATAAAAATAAAGATTAATTAAAGCGTTTTAAAATAAAATTAATATAATATAATTAATTAAATATTTTAATATAAAATTATTAATCAAAAAAAATAATAAACAATATAATATAAATCAAACAAAAACATAATAATTATGTATAAATTTAAAAAAAATAAATAATCAAGCTTAATCAAATAAAAAAATATATATTTATGCAATTATTTTATTTAAAAAATAATAAAACAAAAATTATCAAATTTCATATTTAGATATTATAATTATAATTTTATTTGTAATATATATATATTTAAATATTATTAATTAAATTAGTATTATTAAAATAGTTTTACAGTAAACTATTAATTTCTAATTTTCTGAAACAAAATTATTAAATATCACATATAAGTATCAGATTTCTACTGTATTAAACTAAACAATTGTATCAAAATTTTAAATATTATTTAATTTATTATTTAATTGATAGTTAAATTTTAAAAATTATAATTTGTTATTTATTATTTAGTATTATAACATTTTTGAAACAACATAGATGTATTATATAATTTATAGTCAACAATTGCTTAATTTATTAAGTATAAAATTTTTCTATACTTAACATTTATGCTAAAAAACAAACAATTTAACATTATTATTATAATATAGTTTTTTAAAATTTATGATAACTATTAATTTATAAAAATCTAATGTTAATAGTATTAGTGAATGGTTTGCACTCACGTATCAAACAATACCCGAACGTAACGCTCGACACGTGTGGTATCGGCAGACAGTCATCACTGTTGTTGTCGACGACTACTACCACTACTACTACTACTGGCCGACAATGTTTCAAGTGGTCAACCAATGAGACCAGTAGTGTACAAAACGGACGGTTAGCCCTTCCGGGAGAGTTCCCATGGATTGCATATATTGAAGGATCTGAATATTTTTGGGGATTTTGGAGAACTAAAACGTATTTATAATTCAATTACAATTAATTCAAAATATAAATTATTATTATGTAGAAAAATTGCATATTAAAATTAATAAACTTTTTTTAATAAAATTTATGTATTTATTAATATATAAAAAATGATTTTTTAAAAAATATTTAATATTTAAAATTAAATTCACAGTTTTTGGTGCACTGGTGTTGTGTTAAATGCCAATTGGATTATAACAGCTGCACATTGTTTTAAGTAATTAAACATTTTTTATTTGATTAATAATAATTAATAATTATTATACTTTATATATAATGATATATAAATTTATATATATATATATATAAATTTATATATATATATATATATATATCAAGGTTAAGTACAGGAAGGCTAAGGGGGTAAGGCCAAAATACCACATAAGATCAAGTTCAAATATTTTTAATTTTATAATTATTATAACTAAAACCAAAAATTAAGTTGAATAATATTCAGTTAATTTTTATATAAAAATAACATTTTAAAAATAAAATTATGTACTTATAAACTATAAACATTAATTATTATTTATATCATTAATTGTATTAAAATTTATTAAAAATATATCATAGTGTATCATTAATGCTTTTATCAATTATTTTTAAATTATTTTATTATTTTGTTAAAATTTAAGTTTTGTATTAATTTTAAAGAATTAAAAAAATATATTTTGAGAAAATTTACCTATTTTCCTTGGAATATTTGTGGATTTTTAGACAATTTTCTCTTAACTCCTCTCCTTGATTTTGAATTTTTGAAATAATTGCAGTTTAAAAATAAAATAAAACTATATTCCTTATCAACACCAAGATTTTTTCGAGATTTTTTTTATGAATTTAACCCCATTCTAACCCCGCCCCCTAAAATCCAAAACCTTGCTTAACACTGATATATATTTTTACATAATTATTGATTTTAATATATATATATATATGTAACGGTATTAAAATCAAATAATTAAGTATAACATTTTAAATTCTCTATTTTAATAATAATAATAATAATAATTAACATAATATTTTTAAGCCCCGATAGAACAGATAATGTACGCACTGTTCAGGATCTGAGACAATCGGGCCATACATACGGTGTGGACAAGTGGTTCATTCATCCCAACTGGTCGTCTACTGAGAAATTCAAAAGGGGTTACGATATAGCAATTGTCAAATTGAAATCACAAATACCGATACCAACGACAACAATACCGACACCGGGTTTATGGTTTGGACAACAGATAAACGGTATTTGTTTACCCGAACCTAATATAATGAATACGGAACAGGAGTTGGCATTGATTGCCGGTTACGGATCGACTACTGGCGATGACGTCCGAAATACTGGTCAACTTAAGATGGGTTGGACTGTCATTGCTAAGCCATACGATACAACCTATCCGTACACTAATATTATTGTTGTGTTCCGATATCCTCACAATACAGGAGCCGCTATGTGTTATGTAATATATATATAAGAAGGCGGTCAATCGATCTTGAGCGGCGTATTTTTTGAATAACTTTTAAACGGTTAGAGATAATTTAATTCTGTAAAATACATTTAAGAATATCATATCGACCACACTTAATATACACACAATCACAAAACTAGGATGACCAGATATACAAAATATCGGGACCAACGCAAGACACTATGTTACAGGTCAAACTACAACAGACTAATTTTTTATGACAATGTAAATTTGTAGTCAAGAAATAATAGTTTAATATAAAAAAAGAATCATCAAAATCGGATTGGTACTTTTATTTTTATACCTTGTTAAATTTGTCATAAATCACATTGTCTAAAATAAAATAGACGTTATTTATGACTATTATATATTTAGAAGATTAAATTTTAAATTATATTATTATTTCTAAAAACATAATTTTATTATGCCGACTAGTTTTCGAAATAATCGACTTTCAATATAAATTACACTATTGTAATTTGATATTATAATTTATACTGAAAGTCGATTATTTCGAAAACTAGTCGACATATTAAAATTTTGTTTTTAGATTTAGTGATAACATGAAAATCTTCATTTAATAAGTATATAATATTTACATTTAACGTCAATTTTATACAATGTGATTTATGACAAATTTAACAAGGTATAAAAATAAAAGTACCAATCCGATTTTGATGATTCTTTTTTTATATTAAACTATTATTTCTTGACTACAAATTTACATTGTCATAAAAAATTAGTCTGTTGTAGTTTGACCTGTAACATAGTGTCTTGCGTTGGTCCCGATATTTTGTATATCTGGTCATCCTAGTTTTGTGATTGTGTGTATATTAAGTGTGGTCGATATGATATTCTTAAATGTATTTTACAGAATTAAATTATCTCTAACCGTTTAAAAGTTATTCAAAAAATACGCCGCTCAAGATCGATTGACCGCCTTCTTATATATATATATATATATATATATATATATATATATATATATATATACAGTATATACAGTATATTTTAAAAATGTTTAGTATTATAAATTATATATATATATATCAAGGTTATTATAGAAAATTTATACCTATAAACCTACAAACATTTAAATATTTAAAAACTTACTTTTAAATATAATTAATTATTTGAAAATTAAAAAAAACTTAAATACAGAATTATTTTATTTATATTTTTTAGTTTATATTAAATTAAAAAAAATCGAAAATTTTTGTTAACAATTTTATTAGCATTTAATACCATACTATATATATCGTTTATTGTATTGTATATACAGTAAATATATATATATATATTATAATATTGAAATATAAATGTTTTTTTTTATTTAAAGGGTGATTCTGGTGGACCATTGATACAGTTTGTCGGTAATAGGGCTGTACTCATTGGTATACAAAGCGGTATATCGGGTACAGTTGGCAGGTGTTTGAGCCGACAGTCTGACTCTAAAATGGCATTTATTCGGTTGTCATCTGCTGTCCAATGGATAGTCAATACAATTAATAGCAATCAATAGAAACAATATTATTATTATTATTATTATCTTTGTATATCACGGTTGTTCCGGTGTGATCACAGTTGTGTCGGCCACTTTTGGTGGCAGAGACACGACTGGTTAGACTCAACTCAAATCTAGTACTTTTCTGACTGTTCTACAACTCTGAAGTATCACTGCTTTTTGCATTTCATAGATCTTAGTTTTTCTGATTTCCAGTGATTCCAAACTTAGGGCCAGATTTTTCGGTATTACGGCCATTGATGACAGTATTATAGGTATTATTTCAACTTTCTTAATGCGCCACATCTTATTGATCTCATAGGCCAAGTCTGTATATTTCCGACGTTTCTCACTATGCGTGTCCTGTAATTTATGTGTTAGTGGGACCGCTATGTCTATTATATACGCCTTATCTTGATGTTTGTCTACTAGGACTATATCTGGGCGGTTGTGGGCCACAGTCTTATCAGTTCTTATTTCTTTATCCCAGTAGAGCTTGGCGCTGTTGTTTTCCATTACACTTTGTGGCTCGTATCTATAGTATGGTAATGGGTCTTTGATTAGTCCGAATCTTATTGCCAGTTCCTGATGTATGATCTTGGCTACTTGATTGTGACGGCTTAGGTACTCGGTATTTGTGAGTACTTTACACCCATTTAGTATATGTTCTATTGTTTCGGACTCCATATGACACATCCTGCACTTGTCTGTTGGTATGTTTAGCTTTTGGATATATTTCTGATGGTTACGGGTCGGAACCACTCGATCTTGTATTGCCATCATGAACCCCTCTGTCTCTCCGTGAAGACCGGCGTACTTCAGCCATTTTGTAGACATTTCTTCGTCTACGTGTGTTTGGTTGAGTTCTGCCCGGTATCTTCCGTGGAGTTCTTTTGAGGCCCATGTGTTAATCCTCTCTTTTTCATTTTGTATATCTATTTGATGTTCAATATTGCTGAGGTTTAGAGGTGTGTAGTTGTAATCGAGTGTTGATGTTATTTTGTGGAGCTCTGAGACATAGCATTTTTGTTGATGGTATTTTCTCAACAGTTCTCGCTGTTTGGCCTCAAGGCTTACAATGTTTAGTAACCCTCTACCCCCATGCTTTCTACTAACACACAGTCGTGCTACAGAACTTCTAGGGTGGTGTAGTCCAAACATTGTAAGTTGTCGCCTTATATGTCTTTCAATGGTCTCAAGTTCTGTTTTACTCCATTTTATTATTCCGAACGAGTATGTCAGTACAGGTATAGCCCAAGTGTTTATGGCTTTGAATTTGTTGTTTGAGTTTAGTTGAGATTTTAGTATTTTTATTATTCTTTGATTTAATGTTTTCTTTATTTCTTCTTTAACTTCTGTCATTTTAGATTTATGCATTTGCTTAATTCCTAAGTACTTATATATATCTCCATTTTCTAGTGCCTTTATATATCCGTTTTCAGTTTCGTATTGATTTCTTTCAGAATAGACTCCTCTTTTCAGTTTCATTATAGCACATTTATCTAATCCGAATTCCATATTTATATCATTGGAGAAAGTTTCTGTTGTTTTTAGCATTGCATTTAAATCAGATTCTTTTTCGGCGTATAGTTTTAAGTCGTCCATATATAGTAGATGTGTTAGATTATATTTTGTATCACTTGATTTTAGATTTACGCCTTTTAGCTTTTTAAGTAGTGATGACAGTGGGTTTATGGCTAAGCAGAACCACAGAGGACTGAGTGAATCTCCTTGAAATATTCCTCTATTTATTTTGATTTCTGTACTTATTTTTGTTCCATTATTTGTATTGACACACAATTTAGTATTCCATTTTTTCATCATATTTTCTAATGTGTTTATCAGTGTGTTGTCAATTTTATATAGTTTTAACACTCTTAATAACCATTTATGAGGGACTGAATCGAATGCTTTCTTATAGTCTATGTATGCCATTTCAAGATTTCTATGTTTTTGACGAGCTCTTATTGTTATGATATTGTCTATTGTTAATTGCTCTTTGCAGCCCATCGAGTGTTTTATACAGCCTTTTTGTTCTTCAGCTATTATGTTGTTGTTACTTAAATGATTATATATTTTTGTTGATATTATGGATGTTAGGATTTTATACATTGTTGTTAGGCAAGTGATGGGTCTATATTTGCTGGGATCTGATGTATTTTCTGTTTTTGGGAGTAGATATGTTATTCCGGAAGTGAGGAAGTCATCGGTTTGTCCTGTTTGTATTATTTTATTCATTGCTATTGCCATTGGTTGATGAACTGTTGTAAAGTGTTTATACCAGAAGTTTTGTATTTTGTCTTGTCCTGGGCTTTTCCAATTGTGGGATTTCTTGAGGGCTTCGGTTAAGTCATCTTTAATTATATTTACTGAAGTCATTTGTGGTATTTCTTTATTTTCATCTTCAATATCATTTATCCAATTAGATTCTTTATATTCCTTTGGGTTACTCCAGATTTCTTTCCAGTAGTTTTCTATTTCATCTATTTGTGGTGTATTGTTATTATTGCTTGAATTTATTTTATTTTGATTTCTATAGAACATTTTTTCGTTATTATAGTACATTGTATTTTGTTTTCGTCTTTCGCTTTGTATTTTATATCTTCTAATTCTTTGTGATAGTGCTTGAACTGTTTGTTTTAATGTGTCGTTGTAATTTCGGATTATGGATTCAAATTCAGGTTTTCCAGGTTTTGTCTGTAATGATCGGTATATATCTTTTAATGATTGGTTAAGTCTTTTTGATTTGTTTCCATTTAACACTTGCGTTATTCTTCCAATTATTTTTCTTTTCCCTTCTATCCGTGTCTCTATTCGCTTTTGCCATTTAGGTATTACATTTTCTTGATTTGGTTTTGTTGTATACATGTGTTCTATTTTGTAGCCTAAGAGTCTCGATACTGCTACTGCTGCACAATACGTTATTGTATTAATTGCGCTCAACGACATATTTTCTTCGATGTAATCTTTAAGTATATCATTTATCGTTATTATAGTAGATCTTGTTTTAATGCCACTTCTTATTTTTGGTAATTTAGGTCTGAATTCTATTTCAAAGTCTTTATATTGTTCTAAAGATGTTTTTAGTTCATTTTCTGCTGTTATTCTGTTTATTTCATCATTTTTATTGTTTATGTTATCTGTTGTTGTAGGTGTCTCTTCTATTTCTGGCACTACTTCTACTGTGGTATTTAATTCAGTTGTTTCATTTAATGATAGTTCATGTGCCACTTGTTGTTTGATTTCTTGTAATTCAATCGGAGATATTTTATTATTCTTTGCTAAGAATCGCCGTTGGTCTGCAATTCTTTGTTCCGTTACATTTAGTTCTGGATATTTTTGTTTGAATGCTAAGTATATTTGGTTTCTGTAATCAGTCATATTTGTTTCGAGTCGAGTTGATCTGTAGTATTCGCGCATTATCAAGGTATTCATCTCATGTGTCCATCTCATGCGCTTTTGCGATTTGTCAACCAAATTGGTCAGTTGTTGCTGAGAACCAGCTTGAACTGAAACATTTTGGAGGTTAGTCTGATTTTGTTGACTAGTCTGCGGTCGCATTACATCACAGCTTTGCCCGCATAGCACATCACTGCGTGGGATATGATGCATACTTAACGAACTGCAGTCAATGCCTACCTGCTGAACGCGGGATTTATTTGAGAGGGTACCTCCCGAACACCCCCCGTTATTCCTACGACTACGTGTAATCATATTTATATATTTTGTGGCCTTTTTACGGGGTCCCGGTCCCTAGAGAAAGCTCAACACTAACATGTGTCTATTGCCACCCATTTCTCACCACTAACATGTGTTTGTTGAAATAGGATTTTTATTTTTTGAAACAAAAGTGGCCATTGCGTGTGAGGACGAGTAACTACTCGAAGGGTGAAGGGACATCCTTGCGGACGTCCCTTCGGGGTGGGGGCACCTTTTTACAGGCACCCCCGGGTGGGAGCACCCTTGCGGGTACCCCCAGGTGGGCACCGATACCGAAGTACCGATACCCGGGTCGGGCAGAAACTCGTCCTCACTTAGCACCCCGCTTTCCCCATACTACTTAAGTTTTATTATTATTATTATTATTATTATTATTATTATTATTATTATTATTATTATTATTCAATTATTATAATATTAGTTACATGTTTTGAAATATAATGTAATATAAAAAATATAATACTGTTATAAATTTATTTATATTTATATATAATATAAATATATTATAGTTAGATAGTATATTAAGTAAGATTAGTAATAATATATTATAATATACCGGTAGTTAGTTATATAATATATATATATTTTTTATTTTTGTTTTAATATAATTTAAATTTATAATACATTTTGGATTTATTCTCTATAATACAGTTTATTATTAATTAATATATTATATAAATATAATTAAAACTATTAATATGCTATTAATACTTTAATTTTATAATATTTTAAGCAAAAAACTAATTTTTTTATTAATTGTAGTTAATAATTTTTTTAAAAAAATTGACAGATATTTAAATTCAAAATAATAAAAAATATAATATAAATTTAAAAAACATATTAATTAGATATTAAATATTATATATTTTTTAAAAATCAAATTAAATTATTAAGTTTATCATAATTCATATGTTAGTATTATAATTATAAATTTTTATTTAAATAATATAAAATATTTTATTATTAAGCAAATTAGTATTAGTAAAAAAAGTTTTAAAAAATAATTTCTAGTTTTCCACAATTTTTTTTAAAAAATCAAATATCACATAACATCAGTTATATAATAAATGCATCAAAATATTAAGTTTATTATATGAAATTGTCAGTAAAATATATTATTTAAATAATATTTAAAAATTAATATTGTAAAAAAAAATTTTATTATAATAACATTTTTGTAATAACATAAATGTATTTTATTCGACAATTTTTTTATTTATTAGGTATTAAAAAATTTTTTATAATCTAAGTATTTATATCAAAAATAAATATATATATATATATATATTAAAACTATT